AAACACAGGGTGATCCTTCAGTGATCAGAGTTACCAGATCTCACTTGGATCTGCTTGGGATTTAGACCCTAATCTTCCAAGGCAATAGTAAAATATTTAGGGAAGCATCCATTTCACACATCAGCACAAATAATATAACCAATCAAATCAGTTTACATAAGCAGATACTGTTGCTTAGGTGTACAGTCCAAGCTTTGCCACGATTAAATGTGTAAATGTATTTGCCCACTACTAAATCTTTTATACAACTCAAGAAGTAGGGCAGCTTTCTGAAAACTAACCATTTTGTAAAAGTTGGCATCTGTGCCAGAAACCAGCCAGCTTCCTACCAGTTTCAATACTTGCCTCTCGTACTTTCTGGGTTCCCACCATATTGTGGGCTATTCTGTTGCTGCCTGACAACTAAATTAGGAGCTGGCTCTTCCTGGTTGTCTGTAGGCAAGTCAATTAAGAATAAAATTTTATTTGAAGTGTTACAATTCTCACCTCTTCCTTCATGTGCCTCTTCTGCCATATGGATACCAACTGATACCATCATTTGTTTCACAGCCATCTTTGTGCATGTTTCCAGAGCTCTACAATCTACATTGCCTGTTTAGAGCAGATCCTCGGCCCTCTGCCCTGCCAGAGGTGAACAATAACATGGGCCCATAATTTATTAAAGGATTAGTCCTTACCTGAGCAGGCCTTCTACTAATTATTCAGAGCTCTGCTGAACTAAAAGTGTGCAGAAGCTCTCTAGCAATGCCAATCTGTCATCTACTGCATGCGCATTGGCCATCCTGTAAAACAAAACCAGTAAAAGCAGGACCTCCAGCTTCCCCTTTTGAAATAAACCTGATTCTTGATCCAATTTTCAATAGTTTTACTCAATTAAAACTCCACTGAAGTTATTTCTGCTCATACTGTTATAAATCAGAACAAAACCTAGCCCAACAGGTATATTAACTGTGTTCTTAAATTGCATCTTATTTCAGCTTCATTTTAATCAGTCATATTACGTAGAATACATTTTCCAGAAAACATCACTGCTAAATTCAGACTGTTGTCGTTCTTCTTGTTGTTGTTCTTTGTTAGTTTGGTTGCTTTTTTAAATCTTTTTTCCAGTCATGCATGGAAATGTTCCTTTAGTGCTGGACTGGGGAGGGTGCAGGGGGGCAGCCTGTTTTATTGAAAGCTAATGAGCACCATCTTGTGGGTAAAGATTTAATAAACCAGTGATATTCCAGACTGAATTCCTAAACTGTAGTATTTTGTGTTCAGACTGAACCAACTAGAGGACTGTATTAACTGGCTTTTATTCACCACCCAAAGTTGACATAAGCTGTTTACGTTTCTAGTAAAAAAGAGCAGTCATTAGTCTACTTACTCTATTAAACCAACTCAGTATTAGGTGCCTGATGGACAAACTAAGGGGAACAAACTACGTAAAAACAAAAACACAAAATCAAATCACTTGAACAGCATGTCATCCAATGTGATCAACTGAGCAATGCAATATTATGCAGAAAGGAAAGAGGAGGAAGGTTATATGCATAGATGGATTCAGGATCTTGAAAAGGGGGATGCAGGAGCAGTGCTACACTGGTGGGTGCACCCCACTTCCCAGCCTTCTCCCCCCACCCCAAGCAGGACAGGCAGACAACATGGGAGCAGCAGCTGAGGACTTGAAGTCACTGAATCAGATAAGAATCTCTCTCCCACCCCACCCTCTCTCGGCACCCCCTCCCTTTCCCTTCATGCACTATACATCAGGGATAACTTCACTGGAGTTTTACTTGAGTGAAACTATTGAAAAGCAGATCAGAATCGAGTGGCACCTCCCTTCTCTCCCCTCCTCAGTGCAGGAAGGGAGGATTCCTGCCCCACTCCAGTCAGGGCTGCAGGGAGTGTCATTTCAGGGAAGTGGGCTCAGGTGGGGACAGCAATGGCAGGTTTCCCCTCCCCGTGCCACTCCCAGTCTGGCAGGGAACACCCAGGGAACCAGACACAGCAGGGGGAATTCACCTGCCACTGCAGATGCCACGTATCCTTATCTGGAGCAGGGCAGGAGTGGTTCCAAGTGGTTCTCTATGCCCCTGGGCCAGCTGGAGACAGAGGTGGCGGCAGGTGGGCCTTCCCTTCCTGCATCCAGAGGCATAAGTAGAGAATGGGAGAGCAGGGAAAATGATGCTGAACATGAAGGGAAAGGAAGTGGGTTCCAAAAAAGAGGGGGGATTATCATGCAATTCAAGAACTTAAAAAGAGTTCCCAGCTGAGATGCACTGTAGAAAAGGGGTGCAACTGTGCAACTGCACCCCCACCCATCCTCCAACACCTACAGATTTTCCTTTGGTTATGTGTAATCCCAAACTAAAATTTGACACAATTAGTGTTGGCAGTTAGAACCAATGTACATTAGGCATGCTACGCATGGGACAGAGAAGCTTCTGCATCCTGATCATGCTTAGGTGAGAGCTGTGCACCAAGCTAAGCTGCTCAGGCTTGATCAGTTAGGGAACAGCTAAGTCAAACAGAGTCAAACCCTTAAGGATTCAAGCATGTCAAGGATTAAGCAGCAAATGAGCAAGGTTTTTACGGATCCCATTTTAGACTCAGTTCCCTAAAGTCTGCCTAAGTTCCCCTTTGGGTGTAGCAACTAAATCAGGCAATAGATAGTACCTGATAAAGGTATACCATGTGTTTTATATGACAAATCTCATAAAATCTGGTATGTGAGAATGCTTAAGTGGGGGGGGGGGGGGTTTTTTTTAAGGGATTTAATTGTCCCTTTGTCAGGGGGGTGTTTTGGGGGGCCGGGGGAGA